GGTCTTTTATTCAGTTTGTGCCTTGTTAATTGTAGTCTGTTATCCTAGTCATGTCATTATTAGGTCCCTTGTTTCAGGTGTGTTGTCTTGTTAGGTTGTATGGTCCCGCTCGTTGTTCTGATTTGCCCCAGCTGTGTCTTGTTCCCTGATCCCCTCTGGGTATTTATATCCTGTCTTCTCTTTTGTTCATGGTGAGTTATTGAATGTATGTTTTAATGTGCGTACCACGAGTATCTTGTCTGTTCTGAATATAATTAAAGTCTACTGCTGCATTTAGACCCGACTTCAGCCTTTGCTTCCACGCTTCGTAACAATATCAAGTTAACATATCCATCTTCATCCTCATCTCCATCTTCGCTTTCACCCTCACTATGTCACTATGACCTCATCTTCCTCATCACATGACACCTCATCCTTACCCTCATCAACTGGCAGTTGTGTTTTATACCTTTTTTATGTGCTATAGAAAATGTGCAGATCATAAGCAGATATAGTATGTGCATAACTATTCTTATAAGTGCATTACAAAATCATGCAAAAATACAAATATATTTAGATAATTCCAACTCTTTTCCTTACAAATATAATACATTTGTATTCCAACCTAGTATGCCTGGTATGGCCTTATGCGATTCCAATGTGGTACAATGTTGCCTTAAGGCAACACACAGTTGTTTTTTTTTTATTTCCTCTAAAACATTTGATGATATATAATGTAAAGTTCTTGAAACTACTTATTTTCTTACCGGTGAAGGTAACTTTTATTTTTGTGGGTGATTAACTGGATGCAAATTAGTGCAAAATTCCCCTTTTCACTGGGGAAAATATGGAGCCATGTGACCTGTGCACATGTGCTGACACAAGGCTTGTTCGACTTGAACCGGCGCTGCACAGACCGATCGGTTTATGACATCAAAGTACCGCGAGAGCGATTGAAAAGCATACGGAGCCGTCTGCTCTCTAATCACTCTCGTGGTATTTTGATGTCACCAATCGGTCTGTGCAGCGCCGGTTCAAGTCGAACAAGCCTACAAAATGGACCCCTGTGGGTCATGTGACCACTTTCATTGATTAGTATTTGAGTTCTTTCCTGAGATATGTTTGACCAATAAATGGGTGTCTCATTTTATTCTAAATTAACTAAAATAGCCTGGAGGCAACACCGTACCATAGAGGGATATACATATACACTGAACAAAATTATAAACGCAACACTTTTGTTTTTGCCCCCATTTTTCATGAGCTGAACTCAAAGATCTAAGACTTTTTCTATGTACACAAAAGGCATATTTCTCTCAAATATTGTTCACAAATCTGTCTCAAATCTGTGTTAGGGAGCACTTCTCCTTTGCCGAGATAATCCATCCACCTCACAGGTGTGGCATATCAAGATGCTGATTAGACATCATGATTATTGCACAGGTGTGCCTTAGGCTGGCCACAATAAAAGGTCACTCTAAATTGTGCAGTTTTACTGTATTGAAAAGGTTGTTGATTATGGCCTGTGGAATGTTGGTCCACTCCTCTTCAATGGCTGTGCGAAGTTGCTGGATATTGGTAGGACCTGGCATCCCAAACACATTCATTCATGCTGACTGCAGGAATGTCCACCAGAACTGTTGCCCGTGAATTGAATGTTCATTTCTCAACCATAAGCCATCTCCAAAGGCGTTTCAGAGAATTTGGCTGTACATCCAACCGGCCTCACAACCGCCGACCACGTGTAGCCCAGGACCTCCACATCCAGCATCTTCACCTCCAAGATCATCTGAGACCGGACAGCTGCTGCAACAATCGGTTTGCATAACCAAAGAATTTCTGCACAAACTGTCTGCACTTTGGAGAGGTGTTCTCTTCACAGATGAATCCCGGTTTTCACTGTACAGGGCAGATGGCAGACAGCGTGTATGGCGTTGTGTGGGTGAGCGGTCTGCTGATGTCAACGTTGTGGATCAAGTGGCCCATGGTGGCGGTGGGGTTATGGTATGGACAGGCGTATGTTATGGACAACGAGGATAGGTGTATTTTATTGATGCCATTTTGAATGCACAGAGATACCGTGATGAGATCCTGAGGCCCATTGTTGTGCCATTCATCCACGACCATCACCTCATGTTGCAAGGATCTGTACACAATTCCTGGAAGCTGAAAACATCCCAGTTTTTGCATGGCCAGCATACTCACCGGACATGTCACCCATTAAGCATGTTTGGGATTCTCTGGATCGGCGTATATGACAGCATGTTCCAGGTCCTGCCAATATCCAGCAACTTCCCACAGCCATTGAAGAGGAGTGGACCAACATTCCACAGGCCACAATCAACAACCTGATCAACTCTATGCGAAGGAGATGTGTTGTACTGCGTGAGGCAAATGTTGGTCACACCAGATACTGACTGGTTTTCGATGCCACACCTGTGAGGTGAATGGATTATCTCGGCAAAGGAGAAGTGCTCACTAACACAGATTTAAGCCCCTATCGCACGGGATTAGTATTATCTGGGGACCTCGTGTGAATTTGAAATTACCCACCCACATCTGAATTTCGGGTGGCGCATTCGCACGGGATAAGCGAAGCCTGTGATTTTACTCGAATATACTGACTTATCTCCCGGATATGATGTCATTAGGCTATTGCTTGGAAATGTCTTGTCGTTATTATATGTCTAGCTGTATGATATATCAACAGAAGAATTGTCCTTACCGTATGCTGCTATACATGTCATTCATCTCCATCTAATCATTCTTTTTGTTTTTGCTCTTCTGATGGTTTTCAGCTTTCTCTTTCTGCAAATTGTATAGCTGTATGGTGTATAGCGATATGACCCAGCACCCAAAATACTATCAAAACACTCGAACGCAGCCTCTATTCTTCGTGAAAGATGGATAAAAAAGCGCACAGGGAACAAAAACCTTGAAAAAATTATAAACGACCCCGCCAAATCAGAGATGCTGATTCGCACGGGACTAATATTATCACAGGACCTCGGTGTTCGGCGAAATATGGTAGGTCATTTGCGGGGGAATTTTTACTTTACAAATTACAGACATGGTCGATTCGCACGGGATTAAGATCACAGACAACCTCCGCAATTATTACAAATGACTAGAGGTCACCAGGTAATACTTATGCCGTGCGAATAGGGCTTTAGACAGATTTGTGAACAATATTTGACAGAAATAGGCCTTTTTGTACATAGAAAGTCTTAGATCTTTGAGTTCAGCTCATGAAAAATGGGGGCAAAAACAAAAGTGTTGCGTTTATAATTTTGTTCAGTGTGTATATATAACTACTAAAACCACCATCACATAAATGTAATGGTTGTTGGATGCTGTGAGCTGAATCTCAGATTGTGTGGGTCATAGGGCTCGTTTTACACCTGCCGTTAACATGCGACCTGTATCCGGAGGTTGTCCACATACACACTAAAAAAACAAGTGTGTTTGTGATCGCAATGTTATGACTTGTGTGTCCTGGCTGGTACTGCGGTACTCGAGGACGCATTATGAACAGATCTCAGTGTAATATAGTGATCTTTTTTATGTGTATTTTTTATTTGTATTATTATTTATTAATTTACTGACAATTTACTGTTACTGTTGTTGTTGTTAATTTGTATTAACTTGTGTGATTTATGTCATTAAATAAAGCATTCAAAAAGTGCAATGTAAAGACAATCTAGTCATCGTACTGTATGTGCAGTCACAGGTCAACGTCACACAAAACCTCACACCAGACGGTCACGTAGCTGTATTTTTTTGTGTGACAATCAAGAGCAGGAAGAGCAGAATGCAGTAAGTTTGCTTTTGCACCCAAAAGTTGCTCAGCCAATCATTGTCTGTGAAGAATTCACAATTATCACATCCCATCTACCAATGATTTGGGCCTATATTTCTCTTACAATGCAATGTAGGCTATTATTTGCAACATCTTCCACCTCATTTTGCGAGGTTTGAAATGTGTAGCTTAGCGTCTGGAAACACTTTTTAAAAGAAACCGTGCCATTTCAGGTCGACTTTGCAACAGCATTTTTCCATTACAGAATTATTTTAAATATTACGTGGGAAACAGATCCAATAAGTTAATCAGATTCAGAAGCCACTTGTTGTTGACAGGTGTAAAGACCAATGATCTGATCGGCTTGGTTAGATCACGTTGATCTCATGGTAATGACAAGTGTAAACACAGCAAGGTTTAGGGGTGTAACAGTTCAAATGACTCATGGTGCAGTTTGATTTTAGGGTCACGGTTTTGATACGGTTCGGTATGTGCTATGTTCAGGAAACAAAAGGACTTTACTGTCTAATGAAAATAAAAACAAATAATCAAACTGCAAGCAATAGCACAAATACAACAGATCAAATCAAATAGATAGACATTTTTTTAAAAATCTTTTTATTCCATAGTTAGCTTTTCATATTGAGAAAGTTATACATAAGACAGTTTGGTGGACCTTTGGAGATCTCACAGTCAAGTCAAGTCAAGTCACATTTATTTATATAGCGCTTTTCACAATACAGATTGCATCAAAGCAGCTTCACAGTGATAACATGAAAGTAGTACAACACAGTTCAATAATATTGTTGAATATTAAATATCCCCAACTAAGCAAGCCAAAAGCAAGGCGACAGTGGCAAGGAACCAAAACTCCATCAGATTGGATGGAGAAAAAAACCTTGGGAGAACCCAGGCTAGTCAGGGGCCAGTTCTCCTCTGGCTAACAATCATAGGGTTTGTTCGAGAGGTTGTCAGAAACTTTTAAGGGCTTTTGAGGAGACTCATATTGTTGATGTTTTAGAGGTGCAATAACAGAACCAAAGATGCATAAAAGCACAACCTCTACTCAGGGCAAGCGAGCTGAAGCTAATGGAGGGCAGACGATGTGAGATGAATTGTGTTGCTATTGAGATCAATGTTGTGAAGAGTCTCTCTCTCTCTCTCTCTCTCTCTCTCTCTCTCTCTCTCTCTCTCTCTCTCTCTCTCTCTCTCTGATGCTCAGGTGCGGTTGGTGGTGGAGCTGATTTGGCCTCTGTTTCTGTTCTTCATTCTTGTGTCGGTCAGATCCACCAATCAGCCTGTTTATAAAAGCCAGTGTAAGTATTGCTCAACTTCAGTTATTCCCAGAATCCTCACTCTCAAACAGTATGCGCATGTTTTTTACGCCAAACATGTTCTAAATGTACTAATAAAATAAATGTATTTATGTCTGGGAGTTACTGAGAATCACGTTGAAAGCAAATTGGTATTAATCATAATACGTTTGCATTTGATAATTGAATGAACTACGTGATATGCTCATTTACTGCATACTGAATGTGCAGTGTGAATGGCTAGGGACATTATCATCCTTCTAAATTAATAGGTTAAATTGACAGCTGTAGTTTGTAAAAAAAAAAAAAAAAATTGAAGAACAGCGATCATGGCAGCACAGGAATGTTGAAATAATTTGATCCGTTAAAGACCTAATCCACATTATTTTCTTTTAATTTTGTTACATTAGAGCTAAATAAGTTATTGAGTGAAAATCAAAAAAATAAATCTATTGTATTTGACCAAGTCGGATGCATAAAGCTGAAAACGCTAATTGAATTGTGAATAATTTCTTCTTCTCAGGCCACTACCCCAATAAGCCCCTCCCATCAGCAGGTGTGTTGCCATGGCTACAGGGCATGTTGTGTAACATACAGAACCCGTGTGTCAGTTATCCCACACCTGGTGAAGCACCCGGACAGGTGAACAACTTCAACGACTCCACGTGAGTGTCAGATCAACAAAATGATTATTCATGCAAATGCAGCGTGCTCTGTTTACTTAACATGGATATATTTACACAATGAATCCCCAAATGAATGCAGACCCAACTTATAGGAAGCATAATAATAGTTAAATTTTAAATAATAATTTTAAAGCATAATAATATTGGAAAACACTTTACAATAAGGTTTTATTTGTTATCATTAGTTAAATACATAGTTAATATATTAGATAAGCTTTATGTAAGTTAATGCATTAACTAATGTTAACAAGTGTTACCATAATTTTAGATTCTTTAAATTGCTTTTAATTTTATTAAATAGTATTAAATTTCATTGTCTTCATTTATTCAAGCATATATATATATTATATATATATATATATATATATATATATATAAATAAATGTTGTGTGTATACACACACACACAACTTTGTTTGGCTCTGTTTGTATCTTATGCTTCTTTCTTACTTTTATTTAGAGTAACAAAGGTTTTGATTGAAGTTCAGTCGCTCCTGGCAGATCCCGCCCTCTTCGGCAACGTTCAACTGATATCTGATGATATCGGCCAATGGGTGTCCGTCCTGCAGAATGCCAACCCAGCTGGAGGTAAATGTCTATGTTTCCTTTTCTAAAGGTGGTATTATTTTTAACTTTTTATCTCACAATTATTACTTTATTTCTCGCAATTGCAAGTTTATATCTTGCAATTCTGACTTTATAGCACGCAATTGTGAGTTCATATCTCGCAATTCAGACTTTTTGATGTAAACTCAATTGTGAGATAAAAAGTCACAATTATCTTAAAATGTTTTATTCTATGGCATAAACAAGCTTCCATTGATTTGCCTGCTGGCAATTTTTTTTTTTACAAGATCATCTTAAATCGATTGACAGTTTTGTCTAGGTAGAACTGCTGTTATGAACACTTCACGCATCCCAGTTCAGCTGTGTGTTTTTTTTCCACCAATCTCATAAACGTGAAATAATTGGCAGCATTGCATTTCCACAGTATGACACTCATGCATTGTGAGTAATCAAACGTGGGCTTTTGAGCATCATTATTAGATCATCATTACCATTATCATCTTTCAAATAGAGGTAAAAATAGAGGCAAATGAATCAGTTGTTGACTTGAGTTTAGAGTGCAAAATTTGTGCATTTCTGGTTCAAATATGCCATTAACCCTCTATGGTACGGTGTTGCCTCCAGGCAACATAGTCTATTTTAGTTTATTTTTAATAAAATTAGACTTTTAATGCAAGTAGACAACATTTTTATGTAGTAAGCTCACTTAAGGACTTGTTAAGTAATATTTTACCAGAAAAAGCTTTGGAGTTTGTATAATATGTCAATTTAAAACATATTGTATGATCTTAACTGCTGTATTTTTATTTTTGTTTGGTTTTTATTATTGTTGTTATGCAAATCGTTTTTTTTTTTTTTTTTTTTTTTACTCGCTTGGCATGAAGATATCCTCAGATGCAATGGCATTAAAATATATACTATAACTACTATTGCCCTTGCTGTTCTTACACAATGACATGCACATCTAGAATGGACGCGCACTTGAATTGACTACAACGGCACTGTGCAATTTACAGCTGCAGTTGTTGGTTGGTAGGTGCAGGTCGTATATCTTGCCGCTGTGCTGTTGTTTGTTCATACCGTTTAGTCTAATGATATTCAGATTTCTGAGGGAGCTCATTTGCAAATAGGCCGTGTTGTCAGGACGTGGTCACCGCTGCAGGCCTATTTGCATTCTGGGGCCATGAACTTCTATTATACAAGATTAAATTCATCAGCAGATCTAAGAGAGAGTAATTAACTCACAACGCTGCCAGAGACTCGCCGATAGAAGCGGCCAATCATAGCGAGCGTGGAATAAAGCGGCCAATGGGAGCGCAGGGTGACGCCATGGCAGCCGGAGATGATTAAGGTGCGAGGTGACGACTCCAATCTCTCTCGAACAGAGCTTATCCGCGCACATGTGTTTGTGCGTAAGCCGGTCTGTCTGCGACCTACCTGATTGGTGTTGAAGAGGATTGTAGAGATGACAACAAAGACGCAGATAAGATGCAGAGTGTAATGACGTGCCCTCTGTAATCAGCGCTGCTGTCTGATACTCGTCGAGCGCTGGGCCACTAATTAGCACGGCTCTATACATATTAGCCGGGTCAGGTTTCTTGTTTTTTTCACGTTCCCAACACAGCCGCCCATTCATGAGAATTACAACAGCTCTCTCTAGGGCGCAGTCAGACCTCCATCCACCCTTGATGTCTAAACACACAAGCTTTCATATGCCTAATTGGCTTTCATGGTCTTTGTGCGAGCTTGTGGGAGGAATTTGCAGTTGCATGATGACAAAACAGCGTGTTGCCTTATAGCTAAATGAGTCTTTAACGGGCTAACACGGGTTTAATAAGCCACATCCTCTCCTTCAATCACGGCCTCAATTTACCCAAAGCGCTTGCATAGCCGCCCACCGCAATACACCTCGACCTCCACTTGAAAACATGTTACATTTTCTAAGATAAATGTGAAAAGAAATTAATACTTTTCTTATTTATTTATTTTTGCTGTTTAGACTACAAAAAATATATAAGATTTGAAAAAATTTCTGTCTGAACCTATGTAAGCTACACTAAGAGCAATGTGTTAATATTCCCTGTTCAATTTCTCTGTTAGGTCAGTCCATTCCGCTTCGCAATTTGCTGAGAACCAACGAGACGTTTTCAGAATATCTGACGAACAGCCTTTCTGTGCCAAGCACAACAGCCACGAGCCTGATGAGGGTGAAAGTTCGGCTCGGCCAGGTACGTCATCTACAAAGACAGATGGAGAGCCAGAAAGATAAAGAGACGCTGTATATTTTAGTGCAGACTGGAGGAGATCCAATATCCCTTAATGAAAAATCAGCCGAGAGTCCAGACGCTTCTACAGGAACTCAATCACATCACCAAAGCCCTGTGTTTTACCTCAGCAATAAAGCTTGTTGTTCAAGCTAGATTCACATGGCAGTAAAATGTCAAACACGTGTCATTTGAACTTCGAAAGCAAAACTTAATAGGCACAGAAATATTTAGAGGACAATGTTTTAACTCATATTATAAAAATGAAGAAATAAAAATATTGATGTTGTAAATTACAATTGTCATGTAAAATGACAAAAGAATCATTGATAATTAAAGGCCTAAAACATATGATTTATTTCACACTGTAAGTTACAATACTAATATTATATTAGTCTTAAATTTTTCACTTTCAAACATTCAAATCCTCAAGCTTTTATTTTGACATAATACTGATAAAAGTGCTGAAAACGTAGACATACTCATTTCATTAAATCGTTTATTTAATTAATGATGCTCGCATTTTTAATTGAATAAGCGATTTAATTAAATAAGTGCTTGTTTCTGCCACAGAATAAAAAATAAAAAAAGGTAATTGCAAAAGTTTATATCTCGCAATTGTAAAAAAAAAAAAAGTCAGAATTGTACGGAGCAATTCTAAAGGGACCTATAAAAAAATAAAAAATATAAAAATATAAAGACTTTCACGTGCGCACGTGAGTTTCTTGTGCGCACGCGAAAGTTTCTCGTGAGCACGTGAAAGTCTGTATATTTTTTATTTTTGCAAAGGTCCCTTTAGGGGCTCCATAGAATTGTGAGATAAGAAGTTGCAATTGCTTCTTTTTTTCCCCATATGGCATTAAGCTATATCGCGATTTCACTTTTATTTCGATTAATTGTGCAGTAACATTTTATTTTATTTTAACTTTACATTTGATTAATTAGTAGCTTTTCATCAATTCATGAACCCCCTTTGAGGTTTGCAATCCCTGATCTGAGATAACATGGATCATCAGGTTTCAATTGAGAAATATATTCATTTGTGAGGACAAAACGGCTCAGTAACTAAGAAAATTAAAAAATGGCACTTCTTGACAAAAATGTTGCCTTTATTGATCTTTCAAAATGTTATATAAACTCAAAGATGATGCCAGGCGGTATTCTAGAAAGTAGGTTTTGGGACGTTTATTCAGGGTAAGCAGATAACCTCAACTTTCAGTTCCAAAACAGCAACTTATACTCTGAAAACAACCTGAATAACCATAGTTTATTCAGCGCATGCTATTGATGAGGTTCCAGTGGGCGTGACAGATTTTGCACTATATATATATATATATATATATATATATATATATATATATATATATATATATATATATATATATATATAGAATGTATTTTTGTGAAACAACGTGAAAAAATGGCGAAGCTATGGCGAGCTTCTTCTTAGACATAGACTGTAAAAAAAAGCGTCCGTTTCCATGGTGACTTCTGGATTCTATGCTCGGTTGAGAATGTCTTTGCACGGTCAATTTTAACTCTTGAGTTCCATATACTCCTTGAATGGTTGAACGAACTTGCTCCAGACCCCGGTTTTAGAACCATACAATCGAGTAAGCAAAGTTTGGGTTAATGAGCCGAGAGTTCAGGCCAGGGTATATGTTAACGATAAATTAATCTTGCTTTCTGGAATACCATCCAGGTGTGTCTCTGATGTTCATCTGAGTTTTTGTTTTGATATCCTAACTGTTTGCTGCTCTGTTGTGTAGTTGCCTGCGCTCTCAGGTGAGGGAGATCTGCGCTCTGTGCTCTGCAGTGAATCAATCAATCGCATCATGGAGTTTAATTCATCCAATCAGAAGGCGGAGTTTCAGAATATCACATGCTCCTTGACAGCCAATCAGCTTCTTCAAGCCAGACAAGCATTCATGCAGAATGTTGACAACATGAAACTTCTAAATGCAGTGAGTAAACCTTCTTTATTTCTGTGAGTGGGACTTTTAAACATTTTATGACTACATTTAAAAAAATGTATATCAGTATTATTGTATTTTCCAGTAAAAATAACATGATATATTTACTTGAAGCAAAATGTTAATTAACAAATAAAATGCTGCCGCTCTTTAATGTGGAGTGACAGATCAGGCGCTGTATACGTTGTTTACTACAAGTTACAGCACAAAATAAACTTTTTAAACATCAGATGTTGAAAAAGACAGTGCAACTTACCAAAATCCATATCACATCTCTTGTAAACAATCCGTGTTTCAACCGCGGAAAGACGTCATTAAAACAGCTTGTAAAGAATGTCACGTAATGTTACATTTACCTTAAAGCAAGTCAATGTTCATAAACTTGTTATTTAGCTAAATAAATAACTAGAGGAGCATTTTGCTATTACATATTCATTATATTTTATATACATACTAAATCTATTGTCTTCGTTATTTAATATGTTTGAGTCTGTCATAAAACAAGTTTTTATGACAGTCACTATTATGTGTTTCAACTACAAATTGTTTCATAAACATAATTATATAATTTATAAGTTGATATAAAACAGACATGTAATTTAAATGTTTATAAGTTTTTATTGTTTAGCGTTGATTATTAAACGTGATTAATTGTTTATTATATAATTTGTTTTTAATGCATCACTAAATTCAGCTTAAGTAAAACATTTATACAGCATCCACGAGTGTGTCTGTGTTTTCAGCAGTGCAGAATGTTTTTTGAAAATTCAGAAATCTCTCCTTATAACCTTTGTACACATCTTAGAGAGAGAGAGAGAGAGAGGGACATATAGTACACAAAGCTCTCAGCAGCTCTTGCAGAATAAAACTATTAACAGAAGTGAAGCTCTGCAGCTAGAAATGGGACTAAATGGAATGCGGCACTGAGAGGAGAGCATGGACACAATAGGCGTCTTTGGGTCTGGCAGAGACATGGAAGGATGTTAAATAACTGTGTTATGTGGTGAACATGACCGATATACTCTCTGAGCTCAATGAAGGGCAGCCACTTACTTCTACAGAAGTATACAGTAGAAACACTTGAACATGTGCTTTAGGTCGAACAATGAAACAAGGTCATGTCCAGGGCAGCTCTTTTCTTAATATCTAAAGTATTATAGTATGTAAATTGGTTTTGTTATATGGATGTTTATATATCAGTAATTAAATGTTTTGGGCCCTATGAAATAATTTTTTCCCCCAAATTCTATTTTTTTTTTCCCTCCAAATTCTGTGTATTCCGTTTTAATGATTGATTTACCTTTTATTAAAATAAAAAGCATCTATATCAACATCTAATAAATTGAATGAATACAACTTTAACTATTTATTTATTAGGGCCATATGAAATTTTCCGAAATTCTGTGTTGTCCGTTTACATTTTTCTGGATTTATGATTTGATACAAATTTATTATCTAAAACAGAGATAATCTTGATTTACCTTTTATTAAATTAAAAAGCATCTAAATCAACATCTAATAAATTGAATGAATACAACTTTAACTATTTATTTATTAGGGCCATATGAAATTCTCCGAAATTCTGTGTTGTCCGTTTACATTTTTCTGGATTTATGATTTGATACAAATTTATTATCTAAAACCGAGATAATCAAATCATATTATACTGACAACCCAGAAAACAAAGGGGAATCTCTAGCTTATCTGCTTTTAGAGAGAACTCTAACCCATTTCAAATAATTATAATGTAGATATCACTTAGACTTTTGCCTAAACACATTATGGCACCTAAAAAAAAAGAAAAAAGTATTAAAGCAACTGAGGTGTGCTCTTATTTGGGATATCATAAATTCATATAATTATCACATATAACAGGGCTGTTAAATTCAACATTATGATCTCTCAAATATTTTTAGTGGTACACTATTCCGTTTGACACATAAACATGTTATGTGTTTACCAAAATATGTCAGATGGATGTAGCAGTTTTTGAGTTATGAAGGAAAATATGGAAAGGTTACTGCCCTTGGCCTTTCATATATGTTCAACCATTTGTTCTTATATTCACATTTAAGACATTTATCATCCACTCTCATCCTGAAGGGCTTCGGGTTTGGTTCTGCGGATGAGAGGTTGGGAGCATAAATGTTCTCCAGACTGAATGAAGAAAAAGCCATTTGCCACGTAATCCCCTGCGCAGATAAATACTTCAACACACACACACACGCACACACACACACACTCTCTCTCTCTCTCTCACTCTCTCTCTCTCTCTCTCTCTCTCTCTCTCTCTCTCTCTCTCTCTCTCTCTCTCTCTCTCTCTCTCTCTCTCTCTCTCTCTCTCTCTCTCTCTCTCTCTCTCTCTCCCCCTTCCCTTTTGCCTCTTTCTGAACCTCCCTTTCCTTCTAAAGTAATCGCTACTGAATGTGTGAAGGTCAAAGAGATAGACACAGAGATAGTGCTGGCTAAGAGGCCAGTGAACGGGAGTTTATTAAGGTTGTTTTAACTGCCTGACAATAAACTCTGAAAATCTAATGATCTTTATAGATTGAACCGTACTTCGCTTCAGTTCAGTAATACAGTCTTAATCTTTGGCTCTGTGAGGCAGAATCCATGTAATACACAATTAAGCTCAGAAAAAATCAGTAATACTAAAATGAGTTTTTTCTTCTTCTTTTTTTTCTGATTCAGCTTCCATTAGCATTGGGTCTGAACCAGCGCGAGACGGGCGTACTGATGGCAAAAACCAGCGTGAATATCGCTCCACTAATGACAGCGGTGAGTTTTCAGTTTTGGATGAATGGACTATGCTTTCCATCTTTTACTAATGTAAAATGTTATCCAGGAAAAGGATACAATAGTGTGTCCCATGAGGTTTCAAATTAGAGGCACAAATCCCATGTTTTGTCTTGCAAAACCTATTAGATATGTTTGATAAACAAACATATCTTCACACCAACTAAACCTTCTCTGGAAGATAAGTAAATACTGTAATCGCTTTCCATTTCCACTGTTATCAATGTTATTATACGTATTTTTGTATTTATTATAAGAATATTTATTTATTTTAAGAATAATGAATACTTTTATTGTTTGATTAATAAAAAAAAATAATAAAAAAATAACCAACACATTCTCATCCTTTGGCGTCATATAGGTGACGCCATTTGACATTTCGTTGAAATACTACGCACATGGCACCCTTTAGCGTGAATATAACACGCACTGTTATGGGTAGGTTTAGGTCTGGGGTAGGGTCTGCGTCTCATATTGACGCTAAAGGATGCCAGTAACGTGTATGACGCCTTGGGTTCTGCGTGTTATATTCACGCTAAAGGGTGCCATGTGCGTAGTATTTCAACGAAATGTCATATGGCGTCACCTATATGATGCCAAAGGATGAGAACGGGCTCAAATAACTCAATTACACCTATTTAGACATCCTAAAGTTTGCTAACAGGATTTGCTAAAATTGTAAAGCTCATAAATAATTTATAGAAATAAAACAGCTTATATACTCCTTGTAGTTTGACATCCTGAGGATTTTCTGAAAAACACTACCTTTCAAAAGTTCAGAGTATTTTTAAATCTCTTGGCTGCATATATTAGATACAAAAACTACAAACAAATTATTGTAATCCAAAATACGTGTTTTCTATGTGAATATTTTTCTGTGATGCAAAGCTGAATTTTCAGCATCATTACTCCAGTCTTCAGTGTCACATGATCCTTCAGAAATCATTCTAATATGCTGATTTGCTGCTCAAGAAACATTTCTTCTTATCAATTTTAAAAACAATTGTGCCATTTCATATTTTTGTGGAAACAGATAAAATTTTTTTTTAGGATTCTTTGATTATTTATTTATTTTTTTGGTACTGTTTATATAAACCATGTTTTATGTTATTTCCATTGCTATAGAGCACAACATTTAGGTTATGGAATTATCCCATTTATTTTCTCCATGCAGAAATAAAGTTTGCATAAATAGTTTAAAACTTAATGGAATAGCACAACCTCCATTGGGTTCAGATGATTGCCAGTGTGCGCTCCAGTTTTCCTGAAGAGCTCGTTCATCTGTTGGCATCTACAAGAGAACAACTCGCATGTAGCGACAGACTGCTACAACATTTGAAGCAACTTACAATCTTAAAGCGCAGAGCTGTCCGATAGTTTCTGTAGATGACCTGTATTTCAAGTTTAGCTAAACCCTGCTGTCTCACAAAATGCGATCTGCCCGTGGGGTCGTCTAGCTACGTTTACATGCACCCAAATAATCTGTTTATTATCGGATTGATGGCTCAATCAGACTGAAAAAAAACATCATCTAAACACCTCTTGAGCTTGAAGCGAATAAAGTTTCAATTGGATTGGAAGGGGTGGTGTAGACCTGAAATAAATAAGCATACACTCACCTAAAAGATTATTAGGAACACCTGTTCAATTTATCATTAATGCAATTATCTAATCAACCAATCCCATGGCAGTTGCTTCAATGCATTTAGGGGTGTGGTCCTGGTCAAGACAATCTCCTGAACTCCAAACTGAATGTCAGAATGGGAAAGAAAGGTGATTTAAGCAATTTTGAGCGTGGCATGGTTGTTGGTGCCAGACAGGGCCGGTCTGAGTATTTCACAATCTGCTCAGTTACTGGGATTTTCACGCACAACCATTTCTAGGGTTTACAAAGAATGGTGTGAAAAGGGAAAAACATCCAGTATGCGGCAGTCCTGTGGGCGAAAATGCCTTGTTGATGCTAGAGGTCAGAGGAGAATGGGCCGACTGATTCAAGCTGATAGAAGAGCAACTTTGACTGAAATAACCACTCGTTACAACCGAGGTATGCAGCAAAGCATTTGTGAAGCCACAACACGCACAACCTTGAGGCGGATGGGCTACAACAGCAGAAGACCCCACCGGGTACCACTCATCTCCACTACAAATAGGAAAAAGAGGCTACAATTTGCAAGAGCTCACCAAAATTGGACAGTTGAAGACTGGAAAAATGTTGCCTGGTCTGATGAGTCTCGATTTCTGTTGAGACATTCAGATGGTAGAGTCAGAATTTGGCATAAACAGAATGAGAACATGGATCCATCATGCCTTGTTACCACTGTGCAGGCTGGTGGTGGTGGTGTAATGGTGTGGGGATGTTTTCTTGGCACACTTTAGGCCCCTTAGTGCCAATTGGGCATCGTTTAAATGGCACGGCCTACCTGAGCATTGTTTCTGACCATGTCCATCCCTTTATGACCACCATGTACCCATCCTCTGATGGCTACTTCCAGCAGGATAATGCACCATGTCACAAAGCTCGAATCATTTCAAATTGGTTTCTTGAACATGACAATGAGTTCACTGTACTAAAATGGCCCCCACAGTCACCAGATCTCAACCCAATAGAGCATCTTTGGGATGTGGTGGAACGGGAGCTTCGTGCCCTGTATGTGCATCCCACAAATCTCCATCAACTGCAAGATGCTATCCTATCAATATGGGCCAACATTTCTAAAGAATGCTTTCAGCACCTTGTTGAATCAATGCCACGTAGAATTAAGGCAGTTCTGAAGGTGAAAGGGGGTCAAACACAGTATTAGTATGGTGTTCCTAATAATCCTTTAGGTGAGTGTATATCGGATTCTAACAAAACTTGCACACATGCACAGTTCGTTTATGTTTACATATGTTTTACGTCTTATAAACTGCACTTTTAAAAAATAAAGGTTCTTTATTGGCATGGTTCCATGAAGAACCTTTAACATCCATAGAACATTTTCATTGCATTAAAGGTTTTTTTTCAACTGTAAAAAATGCAATTCATCTGTTTATTAACTGCTAGAGGGCCAAAAGATACGGACTGCAGCTTTAAAAAACAAACTAACTTTATTTTTGCGTCATTTAATGCGTTTGACACTCCTGAAACTTTGCAGTGTGTAAGTGGCCGATGGTCCTCTTAGCAACAGGATAAACAAAACTTTAAAGGGTACATATCATGCTTTTAAATCGTTCCTTTTTACATATAAATCATACATTTGTAGTCTATATAAAGCGGAACTGCAATGCTTGGGTCTGAATTCCTCATTATTATAGCTCCACAGGCCCCTTTTCTACCCCTTTTCTGATGTGCGTCTGAGAGCAACTCGTTTTGGTGCGGTCTCTTTAAATACAATTGAGCCACTTCATACCCCGCCCCCTCTCCAGGTTGTAGCGGTGACACTCGGTTCAACTCCACCCCGTTCGGCCATTTTTGTAGTTTGATAGCAGAGATACGATTATCTAGCGGCACAGAAACGTTTTATTCACACGTTATTAACAAAATGTCAACAACGGAAGGCTTGTCCAGCCAGCCTTACATGTTCTAGCCAGAGTCGGAGCCGGAGCGAGATGAAAATGAAGACGACGAACCTGCAGAACAACGTCTTCATATGGATGTATCGCAATGGTGTGTTACTGTATTTACACATTAAACTTTGGTCTTCCGACCTTTTACCACCGTGTCGATTTATTTTGATAAATATGTGCGAGGGAGAGAGAGCAAGACAGCGCCTAGTTTGGAGACGGTGAAGTCTTGTTTACACTTTCGCCTGGCTCCGAAGAGAGAGAGTGTGCGCGCGCGACCGGGTCTCTCTCTCTGCTCGTTCTTTCAGTTAAACATGCGCCCTGTCACAACACAAGCACGGCAGTTCATCTACATTAGACGGTGTAATGAAGCGTGTGGGTTACTACATCCAACAACCGAACATTTTAACTTACCCTCTCGTAAGTTCTGCATCCTTTAGCTTGGACTACAAAATTGCAGCGAGAAATAAAAATGGCGGATTGCTCGAAGTGGTGGGCCGGAAGTCGATGTCCTTATTTGGCAGTTCCGCTGCAAATACGGTGACGTAATAGTTCAAAAAACGTCATAGAGAACAGAAAAATCGGAACATAGGCGTGTGGAGCCCAAGATGGCGCGGTGTTAGGTGGACACGTTGTTGAACGTCTCGTCAGGACATTTTGAAATAGGACGATTATAGCCATTATAATTTGACAGTTACTATTTATGAACGAGTAAGTGATTGCCTTCTTCATTTTAACCTCCTTGCGCCAATTCATCTATGGGAAGAAAGAAAAATAGACAAACTTCGAACGTGACAGCACACGGGCCCATGTCAACTACGGAGCCTATTCAATTTGCTGAAGGGAGCGATAGCGCCGTTTCCTCTGTGGATGTGATTTCATCGAATAATGCTGACGAACACAACTGGTTCGATTCGCGCCCAGATTTGAGTGATCTTCTTGCTACTCCTCTGCCTGATACTCCCTTAAAACCTCCAAAAAAAAAAAAAAAACGGGTAAGCATGGAAAGTAACGGCTCTTCAGCAGAAATTCTGGCGGCCATTCGTGAGCTTTCTGGCAAATATGAAGAGATGTTACAGTAGATTTCTGCAATTGACACAAGGACTGAATCTACGGCTAAGCGGATTGAGGCAATGTCGTCAGTTGTGACTCAACTTGTTGCTGAGGTAGCAACGCACAAGGAATCTCTGAAAGTTGTGGCAAAGGAGATTCATGAGCTTCAAAAGATGAATAAAACCATGAAGGAAGAGGTGGGTGAATGTAAGCGTTACAGCTGGAGATGGACTTTAAAGTTACATGGCGTGAGAGAAAAGGATGGTGAGGATGTCCGGAAAGTTGCAATCGATGTCCTTAGCAATGTAGTTCCCGGGATCAGCGATAACCTCGAGGAGGCCGTCGACATTGCACATCGTCTTGGCCAGAGAAGAAATGATGGTTCCCACAGATCAATCATTATACTGTTTGCTCTGCGTCGTATTCGTGACACCGTTTGGCATTCTGCTATGGCTGCAAATTTCTTTTCGACAATAAGTAGCGACTCACGGAAGCCCTTTCACCAGAGGATAGGGCCGCCAGAGAAAAACTTTGGCCTCTTGTTAAAAAAGCCAGGGATTAAGGAAAGAAAGCCTCCTTTTCGCGGTGCATTTGCCTTAATCGACGGGAAAAGATTCAACTTCTCTGATGTAAAATAGACCGGTTCGGTTCTGCGGTGCGGATATGATCTTTTTCCTCGTTGAAGGGGAAATAAGACTGGTTCCTTTCATTCCCATAGGCAACGCATTTTGGGAAGCCAGGTTTTGTTATTTCTCCGGTTGAACCGCAAACTCTGCTGTGTAAGTTGATAAAGATTGACCATGTTCAGTTCGATCGTTCAATTTATTATCTATTGACAGTTTTTTTTTTGTTAGTTTTTTTGACTAATGTTATCTAATGCTTTGCGCTGACAAGCAAGGAGGTTGAGTGATTATACTCTAATTTAATGTTCGTGAATTAATTTTGGTTATATATTGTTCCTATTTCAAAATAGATTTGTGTGGATTTTTTTCAGACAAGAGGTAGCCTACTATACTTTTTCTTTGTACGATGGATTTTAAGTTTCATTATTTTTCTGTTGTATCCTTAAATGTGAGGGGTTTACGTGACGCTGTAAAGAGGAAAGCTGTTTTTTTTATTTTGTAAAAGCAGTGAGTCAGATATAATTTTTCTTCAGGAAACGCATTCAAGTGATTTGGATGTAAAATTTAGGAAAAATCAATGGGGAAATGCAATTTACTGTAGTCATGGCTCTAGTCATTCGGATGGAGTTTCAATTTTGTTGCACAAATTTAAAGGGCACATACTAGAAGTTAAATCTTCTGATGAAGGCAGATGGATTATTTTAGTGATTAAGCAGGATAACTCAATTTTTATTATTTGTAATATTTATGGTTTCAATTCCCGATCTGCCAACAGGTTCTCTTACGAGAGTATCTCTCGTACTGCGTAATAGCTTACGCTAGGGGAAAACCTCTTTTCCACGAGATATTGAAGCCAAAAATTATCCTTAATTTTTTATTAATGTAAAACGCTTTGCAGCAGCAAGCAGACACAGGCGAGACAGCTCGCGCGCCTATTGGCTGCTCTTGCGGCAAATGCAGCAGCCTATCGAGAGAGACTCTGCGTGGCGTAATGACCAATGGGGGCAACTCGCGTCCATATCGTCACGTCCCGCCAGAAAGGGCGTGGTCTCACTCTATAAATATGCTCGTTAGGCTGGTACAAGCTGATTTTCATCTCTTCAGCGAAGCACATGCATCGCTGGATCCGGAGTGAGAAGCCGCGCCGTCGAAGCAAGCTTTTCAGCGGGACGAGCTCTGGAGTCGCTGGCCTCGCCGCCTTCAACTGCCGTACCTGCTGCGCTTTCCGGCGTTCTATATCCTTTTATATCACTTTGTATCCTTACTCTGCTGAGAGTGTTTGCTCGCTTACTTGACGCGACTCACACTTCTCATCACAAAAGAGCTGCGTCTTTTTAAAGATGCCATCCTGTGGCTCGTGCCGCGCCCCACTCAGCGACGGGGACCGTCACGTCATCTGTGTGTCCTGCCTGGGTGAGGATCACGCGGCCATCGCGCTCGCTGACGGCGGATGCCCTCATTGCGAGCTTTTGCCTATGGTGACTCTGAGGACTCGCCTGGCATCATTCTCCGAGCCTTCACCACAGCCCGCCGTGGTGCCGCGCCGCAAGAAGCGCCACGCCCAGCGCGCTCCCGAGCTCTCTCCAGCCCGCCAAAGCTCGCCGGTTCGCCCGCCAGCTTCGCCCGCCAGCTTCGCCGGCTTCGCTCGAGTCGCTCACTGACGGACAACGGCCGCCGCCTGCCGCCGCGTCCGTCCACGAGTTCGACGAACCCACCGAGGCGTGTTCTCTTCTGGTATCTGATAGCGAGGATTGGGCGAGCTCCGTGGACCTCCCCTCCGCTAGCGTTTCCCACCAAACCACTGGTAAGAGAGCCGGCATTGAGACTGAGCTGATGTGTCTGCTCTCTCAGGCCGTGGAAAGCATCGGCCTCGACTGGGAGGCGCCCGCGCAACCGCCGCGCAACAGGCGAGCTCTGTGGACCTCCCTCTTCTGTCCGCGAGTCGTCAGGGAAACGTGCCAGCATCAAGACCGCGAGCCCTAAAACCGCGGCTAGCTTTCTTTACGTTATAAGAAATCTACCCCGCCCCCCATGGGCGTGCGTCACCGGCAAATGAGAAAAGAGTGTGTTTTAGTCCCCGCCGAGGCCGGACTAATCTCCATTTCTCAAACATTTCTCAGCTCCTAGTTTGAGCCGCTGAAAATGTCATTATTGCAGCAATGAGCCTGTTGTATAACACGCACACCTGCATACAAACGCCGACACACACAAAACTGTGATGACGCTCTCTTATCTGCTTGCGCTAATGTAGTTCTCCCTGTGGCCCAGTGGCGGAACCCGAAGCCTTCGCGCGAGAGACCCGTGTTCGATCCCGGCTCTCGCAGCAGATACAAATTTAGTCTCGCCGCGGCCAGATTCCACCGAAACTTTTCGCTCGTTCAGTTCCAGAAAATGCGACTGTTCCCGTGTATTTTGCAGTAAACAAGCTGGTACCACGGCCCGCTTGCCTGCACATAAAGGCCGTTTCCACGGCGACCCAGAAAAATCATGTAATCATTGTATTTCTGGTTTTCCGGCCACAGCCGATGGTTTTATAAGTGTAATAAAATGCTCACAGCCCAGTGTTCATTTCTACACACAAACACAGCCCGCCACGGTACAGGGCTCGCACAAATGAAATCGACGCATGTCAATTGTGCATTAAATGTAGTGAATGTGCCCACAACCCAGTGCCCACAAACACTACCACGGTTTCTGTAAAACGAAACCAACACAAGTCTTCCTAGACTCCTAGGAAATCGACAGTGTTTCAGTCTCGCCGTGGCCAGACTTCCACTGAAATTTTCGCTCGTTCAGTTCCAGAAAATGTGACCGTTCCAGTGTATTTTGCAGTAAGCAAGCCAGTACCATGCCCGCTTGCCTGCACACAAATGCTGTTCCCACGGCGACCCAGATAAATCACATAAACGGTGTATTTTCTGGTATTCCGGCCACAGCCGATGGTGTTATGAGTGTATTGAAAATGCCCACAACCCAGGGCTCATTTCTACACACAAACACAGCCCGCAAAAATGCAGGGCTCGCACAAACAAAATCGCCTCATGTCAATTGTGCACTAAATGTAGTGAATGTGCCTACGTCTCAGTGCCCACAAACACTACACACCTCATGTTCCACGGGTTCTGTAAAAACGAAACCAACACGCATTCAGTCAGCTCAGGCCGACGGTGTTTTTCAGTGCAGTAAATGTGCCCGCTGTCCTGCGCCCACATTCACTCACAGACATGTTAAGCCCCGCTCTCTCTCCCTCAGCAAACTGCTATAAGGGTTTTGAGCGCGGCCAGGCTGCCCGCCGCGATCGGAGCGCCCCCCGCCTCACACACTGTAAACAGTGTCTGCGTTACAGCACGCCGGAGCTCCCTTGCCGTCACTATGTCTCGGCCAGAGCCCAGATCTCATTCTACCCCTAGCTATTCACGCGAAAGTGTGGGCACAGCTTCCTGGGGTATCAGAATGGGTGCTGAACACTATAAAAAGAGGCTATTCGCTACAGTTCGCTCGACGTCCCCGCCGTTATACGGCGCGCGTCGAGACGACGGTGAAAAACGAAGTATCTCATCTACTTCTTGCTACTCGATAGCCGAGATAGCGAAACTACTGAGCAAAGGTGCTATAGAACCTTTATCTCAAGCTCAGAGCAAAGGGGGCCTACACAGCAGATATTTTCTGGTACCGAAAAAAGATGGAGGTCTCAGACCCATTTTAGATCTGCGACAGCTGAACAGAGCGCTTGTGAAACGCCAGTTCAGAATGCTTACGACCAGGAAAATCCTCGCGCAAGTGCGCCACGGGGACTGGTTTATGTCAATAGATCTGAAAGACGCCTATTTCCAAATACAAATAGCGTCCCATCACAGGCGATTCTTGAG